ACTGAATATGTGAATCATAACAGTGATTGACAGCTGATATGAATAATATGATTGTTAATATTATCATATTAATTCAGACAAACATCGACGAGACAGTTAATTAATGTACTTATTGCAGCAGTCTGCATACATTTGGTACCCCTGCTGGTCTAAGAGTGAAACAAACTCATTCAGTTAACATTCATTATTCAAATTATGTCTGCCACCTTATATATTTATATGTAAGGCTTTACTGATGTTCAAATATCAATATTGTGGCTTTCCAAGTTAACATTGATTGATATGACTGCGATTAAATCAGCATATGCTTCTGCCAGGAGATGCCACCTCTGAAATTCTCCTGCCACCCTCTTGCCACCCCATGAATATTTGTCTAGATCCGCCCCTGTCTGTGTGCCACTCAGGCAAAATATCATTAGTTGTTTCTTTTTCTTTATGCCATTCACAACCACTGGAATACACATAAACATGTTTGTAGCTGCTACACTGCTTTTCACTTGAATTCCCATCACTCTCCATGTTAGACTTATCACCTGCTATGCACCTATAGTATGTGCCCATGTACTTATATCTTTGTTTCTTTTTATTTGTGTTTAGCTTTTTAATCTTATTTATTGATGTGTATCTTGTCATTTTGTATGTAATATGGACCTTGAGTCTGAAATAAAGGTTGAATATCCATCATTGAACCGATTTTTTTTTAGGCATCTGATTAGGAGTATAGAGAAATTCTGCATGTTGGATTATCTAAATGTTGAAAGTGGCATTTCTCACTAGAACAATGTATGTATGTATTTATGTATCCTTTTTCTTGTCCCTTCAATCTAAATATTATGTAGAAAGTAGAAATTCAATTTTAGCATTTGTGGTGTTGTAGCATGAAATAATAAATATGTTTTACTTTACTACTACTAGTTTAAATCTGATTATTCCTTTAAATGAAGTGTTAAATGAATGATCAGTGGTGGAAGAAGAACTAAAATATTTTACTTCAGTAAAGGTAGTAAAACCTATATAAAAATATATATATAAACAAACGTACTTGACCTATTAAAATGAATTAGGTACTCATCATTTGATTGGCTCATTTGTTATTGTTGTATTACTTTGTTATAGAAGCATTAATGTGTGTGAAGCCCTGTTGTAGTTTGTTGAGGTGATTTCAAATATTTAATCAATAAATAAATTGTCCAACAACCAATCTAATGTAGAGTCTTTTGAGAGTTCCTAAAAACATATTTTGCAGAGAACACTTGATTTAAAGTGTGACTTAAGAACTCAAGTAAAGTATACCTTTCCTAAATGTGTAGGCCTTAAGTATAGTACGTGTGTTTAGGGTTAGGGTTAGGGTTAGTAATATTATTTTAAAACACAAATCCACTTATTTTTCTTGAAAATGACTGAATAGGGTTCAATTATTTTTCAAAAAGATCATAAGCAGTCTGGGCTGGTCTCCTGGTGATGAGGTAAACCCTTTAAGCCTCCCTCTCACCTGCAGGATGTCCTGGATGTGGCCGAGCTGCTGCCTCAGCACCTGCTTCTGGTGGAAGCTGAAGGCAGGGTGGTGAGAGGCCATGGTGAACAGTAAAAGAAACTGCTCCTCGGTCCTCCCGTCGTTCAGGGCCAAACCGTAGTTATTGATCACCGAGTCTATGTGAGTCAGGGTCCGGTACAGGACACCCGCAGCCTCCCTGTTGTCAGAGCCGAGCAGGGCGAGGGATACCAGCAGCTTGCTCCGCACCACCTCGTCCGTGATGTTGGTAAGGCCCGAGAGGTCGGCGGGGTTGTTGGCTTTGATCTCCGCATCCCGGAGGGAGTGGTAGTCCTTGCGGGCCAAGTCCTCCAGACAGCAGCCGAGGAAGCGGAGCTCGATGGGGACGCAGAGGTCCAGGAGGCCGCACAGGAACTCTGCTCTCTCGGCTGATGTGAGGGAGCTGAACCAGTGGTACACCCCCTCCCTCTGGACACAACTCCAACTCTCCACCATACTCATACATCCACTCAAACAGACAATAACTGGAATTAAAAAGTCAAACTTTCAACGGAGAGAAAACTTCACAACAAAGAGGGCGCGTGCGTGTGAACAGTGTGCGTTTGAAGAGTTGCGCTGGCGCGCGTGGGCAGCGCTACTCTGTGGCCATACAGTCAGAGCTAATAAGTCCAACTTCAAGTTATTGACTCCGTCGCTCACTGTTCACTGTATGTTTGTTTCCAATCACTGCAACCACAGCAATGACATGCACGTTATTCCCTTTGTTTGCGGCGAGCGAGCAGCAGGCCTTTCCAAACCATAATCTATGTAAGTCCCCTCTTATCAAGACAAAGTCGTCTGGTTTGAGTTCAGTTTTCAGCACGGCAGCCGGGAGCAGACGCTCCGCCGTGTCCCTCCCCGCCGGTCGGACCGCTGCCCCCCTGACAGCGGACTACAGAGACACTTCAAAACACACCGCCCCATTGAAGGAGACGCATGAGCCGCCCCGCTCTCCCTCCATGTAAAGTTGCTCCTCCGTCCTCATGGTTTTTCCACAATTTGTGCGAGGAGCAGTCGGCTGACAAACCGCTAGCAAGACTATGCTAGGTTAAAGTTTAAAAACAAAACTAGCGCGGCTTGAAGCTAATGCTGCCACTGGAATTAACATTATAGTCTACCGACAGGCCTACATTACCTCATGAAACGCCGCTGCAGAGAAAACACAAAACTCACAAATTAAACTTTAAGTCCATGAATGAGTTTAGATCAACAAGTTGTTCTACGCTCCCTGCATTCCCCGCTGAGTCTTGAAATCTAAGAAAAACAGCTGTGTATAACATTAACCCAACTCTGGCAGCAAGACCCTCCTATCATGCAGACATGTTTGCTCTGATTGGCTGCAAGTACTGTCTGCATGCGAGGTCTCTCTTGTGATTGGCTTAGAGGGATATCCGCTGCCCTGCTATTTCACATCTTTTTCTCATGCGCTCATACATATCTCAGCTTTATTACCTTGGCTTTAAATTGCCAGATACATTACATGTTAAACTGACTGATTCCATATAATATATGGTATATTATTCTCACCAATATCATCTATTACTTTTAACTTTTTAACTTTTAGAGGGAATTTAGCCAAGTCAGATAAGACAGAGGAGCTCACCTAAATATTATTATTTATTTTAGAAAACACCCACTGATGGACGAAGCAGTCTTAACTTTGACTTAAGTAAATGAATAATACCACAGGGCAGAAATACTTTTCAAGTAAAGGTTCAGCATTTAAAAATGAGTTAAAGTTAAAAAGTATTAAAATGACCTTAAAGTAAAAATAACAATAAAATAAAAACATACACTAAAAGCCCCAGGCAGAATCATTTATATTGATACAGGCAATAATTATCTGTATATTTAGAGTTGAATACCATATTCGAAGTTCATCCTTTGTGTCAAGCCTGACCTGGCCTCTGTTGCTCTTATTATGTAGTTCATCTAGGACCAGAAGATGGCGGCAGATGTCCATGTTGAAACCTGATGCTGCGACAGAGTTTCTTATGGATGTTGTGTTGCATCCATCATGACACCTGGCCATACCTCCCCACAAATGATGAGCACAGAAAATATTTAAAATGTGAATGAAAAACAAATATACTTGACATAGGCCTACTTGTGTTAGGCCTACCTGTTGTTTTCCCCCAGCCACCCCTCTCAGTAGTTATTTTCTTGGTTCTTCCTCCTTCCATCCTCTCATTGAGAACATTGGTCTCTAGAGGTAAGCCCCGCCCCCGCACACAGGCCCCCCGCTGACGGAGGGAAATTCAGTTAAGGTTGCTATAGTAACCATATCCCTCTCTCTTAACCAGTCCTGTACCACTCCCTCTCTGCATCAAGGATGCTTCCCTTCCCAACACACAAAAACTACAACACAGCAACACAAAGACTGAGATAGACTAAAAACACGAGAGCCAAGAGACTTTTTCTTTCAAACACTTTCATTATTTTCTCCACATAACTCAAAAACAAAACAGAGTAATTCTCAGGAACAGAGAGAAAGAAAGAAAGAAGAGTCAAACTATAGAGAGCTTGGCATGCTGTAGCATGCTGCGGACTAACAGGGTGACGCAGGGCATTGTCACCTGGCTGATGGCATACAGCAGAGCTTCTTGAACCTGCTTCAGTCTGGACCCAAAATGAAATGAAAATACATTATTCTGCTTCCCGGGGTGCAGGCACATTAGACTGTATTGTTGTAATAATGTGGGGGGAAACCAGAAATTAGCCTTAAGCTGAGTTTGAGTTCCAGTTTAAGAAACGCTGTCCGACAGAAAAACAACTGCGAACCTCCCTGCTCCCTGGAAGTTGTTACCGATGGCAACGGGTTCAGCCATCCCATCATGTGTAAAGAAGAGGATGATCACACATGTTCACACAGTTCAATGAGCATTCATCTGCACACATGCAAACAAACAGGCTGGTAAGGTCTGCTAGATGGCTTTAAGACACACACATTCACACACATACACAGAAAAACCTTTACTGGCCTATAAAAACACACAAATAGAGTGGTGAAAAAATCATTCAGAAAAGCTGGAAATGAGCTAGCATTTTACCACTTCAGCTTCCCTCATCTCATAGTCAACGTTTTTTTGAACATATCAGATGCCTGAAATAAGGTCTGTGGTTAAAACAAGCTTAAGAGAAATTCACCTTTTGTCGTATACGTCAGTAAATACCCCACTGGTGAATGTCCCAAACTTCTGTCTCATAAATAGTGGTTGCTAACAAGGGGTTTAATAAGATTATTAGACTTCATTACTCCAAACATTAGCCGCCTTTAGTTTAGCGCTTGTGATGCATGATGTAGCTACTTCATTTATATCCTAATGTTAGCTTTTTGCTTCTATCGATTGCATTTACACTTCAAAAATAAAATTGGTGTTAATATGTGTAGGTTGTCTTGCCATGTGTTTGACACTGAGCTTATTTTTTCAGATATTTTTTAATCCAATGGAAAGATCCCATTGCTTTCTGCGGAGGGAGCAGTTGCGATGCTAACTTCCAGGTCGTCATACAACAATACTTCAAAACTGCACCACTCTATTGTGACTGATGTTTATGCTTGTCTATTAAGTCTTGGATCTTTGGAAGAAAGGCTGAGTAAAAGTGGCGATAAATCTCGATTTTTGATCCTGGCCACTATTTGATTCTACAAAATACCAGCTAGTTCCCTTAGGGAGCTGGCAGCATCACTTATCCCCACATATTATAGGTTTAATTTAACCCAGAAAAAGACATATAAAAGTCCATAAAGTAATTGACTGTACTTTTTAGTCCTCGCTTCTTTCCAGACACTGCTCCTGTCAAAACCTAACATGTTGCATGTGCTTCTGAAGCTTGTGTTGCTTTCAGATCCAACGCATAACTAGGATATTACAGTACATATGCATGCATTGTCTTACTTTAATCAAATTGCGCTACAAAAGCAAGGCAGGTGGCGACTGTTTTTTTCAGACATCTTGCAAGTATAGTATAAAGGTGTTTTATTCAGGTTATGCTTTGAGAGAAGCAGTGGGAGACAGATATTTTCTGTCTTTGAAACTATTTTCTGGTATTACATATACAGGCTGTATTTTCTCTGAATACCCCTGCTAGCTGTGCAGGAGGTGCAGGGCTTTGCCAAGGACGCTCTGTCTTGAACTCACACCAACTTAGAGGAAGCTCCATCCTCTGACTGGTGTGTGGAGGTGAGGGAGGGAGAGGCGGGGGGGGGGGGCACAGCTGTCAGCTGATGCTAGTAGGCTAGATGTGGACGAGCTGCTGCCGTGTCTTCATGAGATGCTCTTGTAAAGTTCATGAACAGCGTGAAAGGCCACTGAGCTACTTGGAGACCACAAACACACGACACACACATGTACACATCCACTCACATTGTTGGAAAAGGACATGCCTTCTTGATAGAGTTGCAAAAACACTCACTTTCACACAAAATGTGACCAAAATGAGTATAACAACAAACCCTAGAAAAATGTTCTTGAAAAAAGAAATAGTTGTTTAGAAAAAAATATCCTGCAAAAACGTTTTTATCCTATTGTTTAACAGAACAAACCATTAAGATCACTTCCTAAAGGGATCCGCAGAATTTCATTTTTTATCATATGCCCCTCTGGGCTTCCGTACTGTAAAAAAGGACAGAAGACGGACATTAGAACTGATGAATGACAGGGAAAGTGTAGAAGCAATGGATGTGTGTGTATGGAAATGGAAAGTCATTGAACATGTATCCAGGCAGCAAACACTCAAGAGTCTTACATACACCCACACACACCTGGATTGAACCGTCTGTAACAACTCCCAGGCAGGCAGAGAAACCAAAAGGCAGGAGTTATATAAAGAGGGGGTGGAGGGTTACAAAATAAAGAATATATCCATCAACATATTGTACATGAGAGAAACTGTTAATAAATAAAGTTACAAATCTGTTGAAAACTATGATTTGAAGATGAAAAAGTCTGTCTGGTCAGTCCTGTCTGCAGACAGTGGAAGCAGACATCTTGCTGTAATGCCAGCTGCAGCTCTCATGGCCTCGGATCGGAACTCTTCAGCCCGTTTGAGTCTGAATATGAGCCATTGAAGCCCACTTAAGTCCAGTTTATGGACTACTTGTATCTCCCTGTAGTCCCGTTACCTGGCCTGGTTTACCCCTCGTTCCTTCGCTTCTTTGGGCTTTGCACTTGAGCATCTTTTTAAGACGATTGGACCAAATTAGCCAAGGTTAGCCCCTTGTTAACTAACTTAGTCCAAATATCGTTGGAGCCTTCCTCGGCCCTCGTCTTCCCTCGGCTTGCAGTCCTCTCACTGGAAACACCAAGGGGCAGCAGATTGGTCGTAATACTCATAGGAACTTATAGTTGTTCGTAGCATAGATAGGCTGACTCTGAAAGCAGTGCTGTCTTTAAATAAAAAAGTGGATAAACAAAATAGCCACTCCAATGTTGAGCAGAATCACCATGACAACCAGGATGGAACTGTAAGCCTGCGTGGGAGAGAGAGAGAGAGAGAGAGAGAGAGAGAGAGAGAGAGAGAGAGAGAGAGAGAGAGGAGAGTGTCAATAATCAGGACACACTCAACGCTCACACAAGAGGCTGCTTTTGGAGAGCTCTTTTCTGTCCCTTGCAAGGGTCTACGAATAGGGAGTGTCGTATGATGTACAGTGTGTGAAGAACCCTGAGATACATTTTTTCATTTCTGATATTGGGCTATATTAATCAAATTTGACTGATTTGATCGATAAATATAGTATATTTAACTTTCTTATACATACACATCTACACAGTCATGTATTCATTTTTATCCAAGACATTTCTTACTACCACAGATGGTCCTTTACATGTCAATTGAAATGCTATACAGTAGAGCTGCAGCAGTGTTTTAAACAGAAAAATAATAATAAAATAAAAAATAATGAACAAATATTTGTTTACAAGTAAGGACCTTGTACTGGGGATTGGTCTCCGTGCAGAGGACCGAGTTAGAATCTGGCCTGGGAACATTGGCCGTGAGACATCCCCTCTGTCTCCCCCTTTCAACCCAAAATATATATTTAAAAATAAATATATAATTTATTATAATCAATTAAATGTTGACATTATTTATCATGCAGTAATGTGAAACAATGTTGTTGTAAGCCTCTCAAATATAAATATTCCACTGTTCATTATTCCTGTTATTTTTATAGAACATTAAAATGAATACCTCTGGTTATTTGACCAGCAGAAAAAAATTCAAACGTGACATCACCTTGGACAAAGGAAACCAGAATGGATATTTTTATGACATTTTATAGACCAAAAGATTTTTTTTTTTAAATGTTTCATTCTGCGATTAAATCGATAATGGAAATAATTGTTTATTGCAAACTAATATGCAGCTTAAAGAGATATGTTAAAAAATAAACTTAAGGGAAATACAAACAGACAAAAGTATGGACATAAGGTGCCTTGCGTTATACATTTTAAAAAGGACCAAACCACAGTGTTTAGCCTAAAGTAAGAGGATTCTCCTCGGTTTTATCAATATTTGGGGATTTAATTTTCTCTTTGCTGTGTTTAAATAATTTCACACTTTTAACATCACTTATATTGGATTTTGCACAACTGCATGCACATCATTCATCCCACGGCTGTCAGGTGAACTCTAGTTACTGTCTCTTTGTTGAAGGAGAATCTTTGACTGGTTCAGAAAATCCTACAGCCCTGGGGTTTATAGAACACAACAACATATCAAAAAACACAAGGGTGGTAAATGAAATGCAATGCTCTCACATTTTGAAGATGCAAGGTTTTCACCTGAAAGCAGCAATATTTTCCAGTACTGTAAAACATGTTGATACTGGCTTTAATGCTGCTGTATGCTAATCTTATAAAGTTGTACTGTTCTTGAGTTTTGAATTTGAGAATTTGAGCTAATGTCAGCGTGTCTAATGTTCTTTTCAGATATGTGGAGGAAAGAAACCCCACCAATTAATTTGGCTTTTCACCAAGGCCAAAATTACCAGCATGTGGTTTTTGTCCACGGACAAAATAATCATGGGATCATTGCGAATATACTCTTTTTATTGACATATGCATGCTTTATTGTAGTACAGTGTGCACATTTATACATCTTATGTCTTGTAAATATTTTTTATTTAATTGGCGTGCCTTTTTTATTGGACATTTAACTTTTACTTCTTATGTTTATACATCTATTTTCTATCATATTTATTTGTAAAAAAAACAACTATCACAAACCCAAATTTCCCCAAGATAAATAAGAATTCTGCTTCTTTCCAAATGGCGCTCACCAACATAACGTTAAGTGTCTTAGTAAGTTAAGTTATACGTTTTTTCAAGGTTCTCTCCTCCAACTTGATTGGATGCTGCCGGACAGTTTAAAATAAAGTTGATCTGGGTAATTAAGTGTTGACTTGCTATGAATGAATACTGTTAATGGTAGTTGATTCAAGTAGTGTGGCCATTTTTTCAAATGTATGCATTATATTCTTAGGTCTAGGAAAAGGTTTCAAGTATTTTCAAGTCAAAAGGTTCATGCCAAAGTGAAGTCACAAGCCAATCATGGTGTTCAAGTCCAGTTCAGTTCTTACTGCAATACTCTTTCTTGTGTTTGGTTTGCATTGTTTTAGTGGTTTCCGGCAACGTGATGCGGTAAAAGAACAAATTGTCTGCAGTTTCTTTGCAGTGCATGTAAATAATACCAATGCAGAAGCAAGGTTCAATGTACGCAGTGCAATAATGAAGGAGCAATTTGCACTTTTAAGATGAATAATACAACAACCCATGTTGATCCCACAAGGAGGCCCACCTCCTCTGACAGGGGGGTCAGAGGGTGAAGTCGGCTGCAGAACAGCGGCCTGGCGGGGAGTCCATGTCTTGCTCAATGACACCTAAGCAGATGCTGGCTGACAACCTGGGTCATGTGGGTGAAGGCCAGCCTTTCTGACCACCTGTCCACTCTTAGTAAATATGTGAAATTAAATCTGGTACATTCAATGACATAATCATGGAGGAGTTCTCTTTTACCCCATGCAGAACCGCTCACTGAAAATATAAAAATATAAAAGTATTAACATAGAGTTTATTTTGGATTTATCCAAGGATTAACCAAAAGAAGAGGCACATAAATATGGATTTAATTAGGTCAAATAATTGTTTCAATAATTGCAGTGTGAGAGGGGAAATGGAACTGCGAACAGATATTAAGCAGCATTAGTGTAACATTGTTGTAAATTAATGTATCCAGAGTGGCAAACAAGGTTTCTGTTGATCAATCCGGTGATAACCTTATTAGAGATCTGTGTCCTAGATAACTACCCGACCAGGTGAATACATCTTCTTATCGTTGGCCTTTTATACTTCTATTTAGTAAGAACATTTGTGATTTTTATGTTTCCATGCCTTCAGTATGATTCCTAACTTCCAGAGACACATCCTCCAGTATATAAAAAAGGGGTTAGCTCAATACAAAATAATTTGATTATTTGTCAGTCTATTATTTCATTTGAGCTGAAAGAGCATAATCAATCACAATTAGTATTTTAAATGAGTAAATCATATTGAAACTCTCCCATCTTAGCAAGAAGACCTCAAACTAAATATAGATTGACATGTTTTTTTTCTTGCTGAGAGTTACAAGATGTATGCAAATTAATATCTGTACACTAAATATAAATGCACAGAATGTCTAGATGCAACATGTGGGTGTGGTTTAATTTGTGATGAAATGGGACATAACTATAATTTGTTTTTGCTAGTTAAAATCAGAGGCAAAATTATTATTTATTTTGTTACAAAAGTCTAGTTTGGTAACACAAATAAAACTGGACAAAAAAACAGTCCAGAATGTACTGGAAGACGTTTTAAAGATATTTAAATTCTGCATTGGAAAATATGCTTTGGTTTGCTTCCTGCGATTGGGTGGGATAATATTCTAACAGAAACTAAACCGCACCAGGGTTCAGGACCATCTCTTGCAACTGGCCTTGTACTGCGTTAGATGGGGAAATCGCCCTAGGAGGCCTGATCTTCTTCTTTAAATAACCTCTTTTGTTGCTCTATGTCTGTTTAGTATGTGAACAGGTATCACTTTGCTAACACATACAATTATACATTTGTTAATTTGCCACCAAGTGATCAAAGACAATTCTGTCCTGGCTTTTCGACCAGAAGAAAGACAGAAAAGTATGCTTAAATGCTTTCATAAAACTGCAGAAATGTGTGAGGCTCAAATGCAATGTTGCAAAAGAATAGGACACGTAATGGAATGGAGCCATCATTATTATGATTGCTTCCCATTCTTTAACGAGTTCAAATGTGTGCTGTGTAAACGACCATTTGATTAAAGTATTTTCTCTGTCTGGCTGAAACTTTCTAAGAGTCCAGTCTTTTAGAAATATTGACCTCTAGGATACTGGAATGCACCAGGGCTCCATTCTGGGACCAATGTTGTTCAGACATCTATTCTTATACAGACCATAAACAGATATTTAAATTCTGCAAGCCTGTTTTAGGCAGGAGACACAGACCCACATTCCCTGTATACAATATAAAATAACACAAAACAACACTTCACCACACTCTTTTGGGTTGTAAGCTTTCCTAAAACTGATAAAATCGAGACATTTTATTACACGCTCACCCCTAGTTTCCACCGGGTCCGTCTGCGTCGCGTTACGGCTGCGCCGTGGCGTCCGCAAGGATTGCAGCCACTCTAGTCAATGGGTGCTATTCCACCAGACGCGCCGCGTTACGGCTCAGAAGCGTCCCAGAAGCGGCTCGCCGCTGGGCTCCGCTCGAAATAGGATTGAAGTCTATTTTTCGACGCGACGCAGCCGTAAGGTAATGTCGGGCAGGCAGGAAGTGGAACGTTCAGATGTATATATATATATATATATAGGCCTATATATATACACACACACAAACTAATTTTGCAGACCCTATCCCTCCGTTGTCTTTCAAGTAGGAGGAGAAATGCTAGCGTTCTCCTCCGGTTTACAGGCACTGTGTAAATATATATAGAATAATTATGATGATGAATGAATTTTTTTACCACTAAAATACAGCAACACATCTTTGATTCATGTCGTTTATAACTGGAATATTACAATTATTATTAACTTTGTCTGTACAAAGTAGTCTGTCCAGGAAATATGCCCAAATCAACTAAAACTGCGAGCCGGCAGGCAAGATGCTCCGCTTCTGAAATGCTTCTGAAACGCGCCCGGTAGGGTATGACGCCGGAGGAGGCCAGACCAAAACCGCGGCGCAGCCGTTGCGACGCAGATGGACCCGGTGGAAACTAGGGGTCACATACAATATAACAGAAGCACTGCCTTTTGTCCTCTTAGGAAATGCTGAAAAGGTAGAGCCACATGTCCCCCATGCAGATACAGACTTATGAATGCCTTTTCTTTGCAGACGTGATTATAAAGCTCCCCTTGTGACCCACCTAAGAAAGCTTCACAAAAAATGCAGACCAGCCCTAAGGAAGCAGCGTGTCAGCAGGAGAGGACATAGAATGAATAGATCCACCTCTCATTGGAGTAGGGACAGTTTACATGTCGAACATGCTTTTAAGACGTTTTCCTGTTCAATCTTCTTTTTCATCCGACAATGGCCTTTTAGTTGCTTTGTGATCTCAAGAATTCAAATGCTTCATTGTCAAATGCACAATAGTTATAGGGCCCGATTAGGCTTTTGGGGGTTTTCCTTTCCTGTAGTGTGTTCTATAGGTTTTTGTGCATGTAAATGATCTGCAAGGGCTCAAATCCCAAAATGCATGCCAGAGGGAGTTTCTCTCCCACACACTCTTTGTATGCTTCTGGAACATGCGGACAACATTATGTAACACTTGCGTATCTATTGGCTAGCGCTCTAAAACATTGTACGTGTAAACATTGTATAGGCTAAAGAGTGGGACTTATCTAAGCGCTTGACCAATCAATCAACCAATCAGAGCCCGCCAGCTAACCAATCAGAGCAGACTGGGGTCTGGTTTCAGACAGAGGGTGAAAATAGGTGCTGCAGCACAGGCAATATGAGAAAAATAAAGAGCTTTTTGAAAATTAAAGCATGGAAACATGTCACAGTAGAGGCACAAAATACAAATATGAACCTCACAATGACTTTAATATGTCCCCTTTAAACTATTTTTTTTCATTTTGAAATGAGCATAATAGGGCCCCTTTAAGTCCCAGGCTCCTCCAACAAAGCAACATCAACATACCTTGGATATAAAACAATATAAATGGTGCAAAAAAATAAATAAAATAGGGAGATCTACCATAGAGAAGTGTGTTTCTAGTGTATCTGGAGCTGATGGCATCCAAATCAATATCATTTTCAAGCAAAATCTTGAGACATTATTTAAGCCCGTATGTAGGCTGTATAAACTAACCCTTCCTTTGATTTTTTTTGTGGGATCTCTTTGTCATCTTTTTAGTTTATATTATTGAGGGTTATCAGATGCTTCATCATCAAGGGACAGTTGCTCACTGAGATGTTGTTCCTATGAATATGAGCCTTTGGGATGCACAGAGTGGACTGGTTGATGTCTATGAGTTTGAGTGAGCTATTTTGGTACATAGGTTTCACACTGGGTACAGTAAAAGACTAAATGTTTTTCCTTCACTTTTGTAATGGAATCTTGCACGAAAAGCCCCACGTCAATAAAGTTTGATTAATCGATTGGTTGTTAAAAAAAGAGCTTGCCACATGTGTGAGTCAGAGTAGCCGCAGTGTTCCCATGGTGTTTGCAGCGCACCCTGTGTTCGTTTATCAGAGTGTGATAGTATCAGTGTATGCTGTGAACCTGTCTTACAAAAATCTCACTTGCTTCTCTGTGGCTGCAAACAGACACACACAAACCACCTACACCCACCCTGTCACTGACACACACCCACCCGATTGGCCGCCGTTGAAGCAAGGCATAAGCTGTTCCCTAGCAACAGAGAGCTGGTTAACCAATAGGGGGCCTTCTGTGAGGAAGGGGCTAGCTTGCCAGTGTGCTGTTACTAAGGTGCAGAGAGGACCGCTGGGGTTCTCTCTCCGCATGTATATCCGTGTGTGTGTGTGTGTTTTGTCTTCATGTCTTCATGTAGCAGGTATCAGAAGCAGCAACTACATACTGCTAAATAACAGGCTTTTTGCTAGAGTTCTTGCACTGATGCATGCACATTTTGATTAAAGTTAGTGAGTAACAGTATTTAACATTTTACACACAATAAGTGTGTGTGTGTGTGTGTGTGTGTGTATGTGAGAGAGAGATGGAGAGAGCGAGCTCGTATGTATAATGTATTCTGTATATCTCTGAAGCCTACGATATGTGTTTTTCACTTGCTGCTGATTCTCCTTTTGGTTTCATTAGCTAATGCTACGACTATATTATCATCCGGGATTAGCGTGCTTGGGTCCCTCCAACGGCTTGAGTCAAGACGTAGCCAAAACATTATATTAAAATGGTGTAATCCCCCTGCTTGGTCATAGTACAGAAACAAATATTTCTTTATTTCACAGGGTTAAACCTTGTGCCTCTCCCCCTGGATTATCTTAATATGTGGGTTAACATTGTGTTATGTCACAGGGGATGAAGGTATCCTCCTGACAGTGGGCAACAAATCCTTTAGTCAAATCAATGTGCGGCAGTGAAATGATAGATATGACCAATGCACTATAGAGCTTTTTGTCCAGGGTGATAGTAAAGCCAAATGCAAAAGTTAAAATTACTGAAATGTAAAGCTTCTATAATTAATATTTTTAATAATAACAATGGATAGAATGACTACATGTACTGTAAAGTGAAATGAGTGCACATAGTAATAAACATACAGAGGGTTATCAACTGACTCTACTAGAGCTGTAATAACTAATTTTTACAGCCATGTATGGATCATTGAAAAAAAACACAAAGGGTACAAAATAACAACAAAGAGGCACAAAGCAACCACAAAGACACAGAACAAATACAACGACACACAAAACAACTATAAAGAGGCACAAAGCAACTTTGAAGAGACACGTAATGACAACAAAGATGGACAAAACAACAACTATGAGACACAAAGCAACTACAAAGAGACAAAAGCAACTACAAAGAAACAGAACACATATCAAGACACACAAAACAACACCAAGACACAAAACAACTACAAAGAAACACAAAGCAACCACAAAGAGACAACTACAAAGAAATACAAATCGACAACAAAGACACACAACATTACAACAAAGAGAAACAAAGCAACTACAAAGAGACACAAAACAACCACAAAAGGTACACGAAACAACTTCAAAGAGACACATAATGAAAACAAAGAGACACAAAAACCAACAAAGTGTCACAAATCAACTACAAAAAACACAAAGCAATTACAAAGACAAACAAAGCAACTAAAAAGAGGCACAAAACAAGGACAAAAAGACAACTATGAATTATATGACTTGCTTCTGTAAGAGGTGGCAGGGTCTTCTGCATGTCTGTGTCTAGTGCCTAGTGTTTATGAATTATTATTATAATGTACCTTTAAGGTACATTTGTGGAGACAGGACAATGTGGAAACATTACACCTGTAATCATCAGAGATAATGTTTTTGTTCTTGGTGCTACAATAAGACCTCACTGATAGGAAGGTTAACAAGTAGATAATAGAAAACAGAACTAGAGAGTAACGTGACATTTATCTGTGGTCTCTTTACTTTAAACTATCTCAGACATCATACAACTGGTCATGCTATCCGATGTAAGGCATTACAACTTTTAAAATCAAACTACTACATTGACTTACTCTACACTCTACACTTACTCATAAATCTCATACACACAGGGGTTGAGATTTGTGAGGTCTAGTTTTCTTTGTTAGACATAACCAAGCGGCAAAAGGCAAATCTAAACCAAAGGTATTTTAGGAAACCAAATGTAATGGATGTTTGATTAAGTTACATTTGGAAAAGAGTGCCAGTAATGGTATTTTTCTCCTAAATTTCAACTTAAACTGCCGTAAACCAGAAGAGTTTTTAAAAAGAACGATGTTTAGGACATCCTCAGTTTGGTTAAACAAAAATCTTGCAAATGTAATCTTATTTGAGTACACTAAGTGTTGTATTTGCGTGTACCGGAGCTGTGTTAGCGTGCTCGTAAAAGTCTTACCGAGTTGCCTTTGCTCTGCATGAGGCTGAGGTCCTGCTGCTCTCGTGTGATGGGTGAGGACTTCAGAGGGGGGGAGAGGGTGAGGTCCCGACGTAGAGGCCGTGAATCCATCTTTTCCCCTGGTCTGTCCAGCTTGTGCTGTGAGTCTTTGCCCCCTTCCTTGCCCTCTTTTCCTTCCCTCCCCTCCCTCCCTTCACGGTTCTTATGCCTCTGTCTCTGCACGGTGTGGGAGCGCCCCTCTCCGTGAGCATGCCCCTGCCTCTCCTCCCCGTGCCCATGGGGCTTGTGGGTAGTGGAGTCTCTGGGCTGTAAAGGCTTCATCTCCATCTCATAATTGCTCATTTTCTCCTCATCCTGCTCCAGCAGCCGCCCCCCCCTACCGCGCACGCCCCTGTGCCCCGACGTCCAAGAGGCAGAGGAGGACGACTCCGTCCACTTGTCCCCCTTGGCCTGTCTGTGATTGGATGATCCATGCTCCCGGGGCTTGTGATTGGAGGAGCTGTGTTTGTGTCCGTTGGTCCGGCTCGCTCCTCCCCCACTGACCCCTCCTCCTCCTTTGGACAAAATCCCTCTCCTCTTGTCCTCACCCCAGGTATTGGCCCTTAGGTACTCCCCCTTCTCTCCCCCTCCTCCGTCTTCACCTCCCCCACTTCCACCCTCCATCAACACCTGAATCTCCGTTTGCTCTCCTCCTCCTCCACCCTTCTCAGCCCTTTCTCCTCCATCCTTCGCCTTGTCCCCATCATCCACGGCGCTCTGTCGGTGGAAACGGGCACTTTTGCTCCGATGGGAAGGCCTTGCAGGTGGAGGCGGAGTGTGTGGCGGCGAAGAAGAAGGGGGGCTGAGGTCAGGGGTAGCGGCATCGTTAGAGGGGTCGTCGGAAGCTGCGCTCTTTACGTAGAGATCGGGACTGTCGGTGGTGCCGGCGCTACTCGACAACCCCTCGCCCTCCACCTCGCTGGACACCTGACGTTTGGGACGCTGCACCTCCATGCCTGCAAACGACAGATGACATCATGAAAATGTACATTTTGTGTGCGGATGAATCAGATATAATGTATAAATATAACTGGCTACAGCAGGGCCGGTTCTGACCAATTTGCTGCCCCAAGCGAGATTTTAGCTGGCAGTTACAACTCAATGATTTAAATAGGGCTTATTCAAGTGTCACACTGATTTACAGATGTCTCTTTCCCAATGTCAATTGCGCAATTACGTGGTTAACGCTGAAGTTGTAATACCGCGTGTCTCCACTACGAAAATGTGTTTTATCGGCTCACTTCCTGGGAGCTCGCTCTAAAAGGAAGCAACATTAACGAAGCAGTCCATTAGATGCATTCTAACGAGTAGTATATTTATTTAAGTATATCTCCGGCTTTATGGACTGTAGCAAAATTATGAAGTTTCGGAGCGAGTCAAATCTTTTCGCAAATCATCACACATGCCTGATGGCCAGGCCTGTTGGAGACGTTTACTCCGGAAAGGCAGTTGCAAAGAGTACAGCTTAAACCTTTGAAAAGCAATCTTTGTGATTTAATCTTTTAAAACATGTTTTCCAACAAATCTCCGAATGGAAGAGAGAATCTGGGATGAAAAAACCTTATATATTTTCTGCCACCCGATTCCCATTTACTGTATGTATAGTTGCCAATTTAATCTGTAAAGGAATACCAACAAAACAGTCTGGTACGCGATGATATCAGGGTTATATGTCTCAACAGAAAGATGTTGCAAATGTCAGCACCAATATTTGTCGTCATAGATGTCCTCAAAATAGAAACAGACAGCTGCTGAGAGCAGAGTAGATGGCAAAAGAACAATCACTGTCATCTCAGGTATCGGTGTGTGGGAGTGTACAGTACGTGTCATAAAGTCAGTGTGTATGTGTGTGTTATTGCGCTGTCTAGTGAATGTTCTCGTGGGTTGGCTACCTGCAGTGCAGTACAGGTGTGAGTGACAGAGGCAGAAACACCAAGCTGGAGGGTGGTTTACACTGACCTTTATCACCATCCCACACACGCATTTATGAGGTTTTGCTCATTCATGCATGTGTGGGTAGGGGACACGTGTTGTATATGTCTGCTTGACTGGGTTTGTGAATTATGGACATGTGTGTTGTATGAGTAAATATGTTTGTTGTGATTTTGTGTGCCCACCGTTTCCTGGGTGCTGGAAGGAAGGGGAGAACTGCTTGGCGGTGACCCTAGCCATGCGACTCTCCTCCTGGGCTTTCTGGGATGCTCCGACCGCTGCATCTGCTTTACCCTGCGCATGAGCCGTCCTGAGACATAGAAGACAGGAAACAGAACGTGAAGAGGACAATAAATAAAATCTAACTTAAAATAATTCCTTTGAGAGAACAAACAGGCCTTTTGTAAGGAGATAAGAACTTGAAATTCAAAAGAACATTAACGAAAATGCTCTACTAGGTACAAATCAAGCTGCAGTAACTGACCTTTGGAAGAACAAAAGTGCCAACGGTGCACCCCATTTACAGTTTTCACTGAGATAAAGTTGGACCATTTGTGTTTAGCCCTGGGTTATTCAATACACACAAGATTCAGTTCACCTCTACAAACTTAATGTTGGATTCTGCTGTTGTTTGAGGTAAATTGGTGTTGGGATACCTTTCGATGTGGACACAATCTTTTGATAGTTGGAAGAATATTAACAAATGTAAATGAAAGAATTGGTAGAAGAAAGAATCTTTATGACTTTGTTCCGACCAACAAAAAAGTTGCAATTGTTTTTTGTCCAACCCAAAAGCAACTAGTCTGGCAAGTTGCAAATGAGAACACAATGTACATTTGACCCTTTTTCAACAGTGCATTTTGAAATGACTACGACTTTGTTCTTATAGTTGTCTGACAAAACACAAGAACAGCTATTGTAAATAATGTGTTAGGCTGTATTAAAGCATAGTGTGGTTAAATCAATCAATCAATCAATCAATCAATCAATGTTTATATAGCCCAATATCACAAATGTTACATTTGTCTCAGTGGACTTCCCAGTTTGTACAGAATATCAGTATGGCAATACGATCTTGGTTGGTTGAGCTGGAGGGGACATAACAGAGCTTTAGCTAGCTGAGAATCAGCAGAGTATCCAGAATTTGTGTACGACTCATCAACAGACGTGAGCTATGATTCAGAGTGTTGTTGTTTGCCAACTTAAACAATTATGATGAAGAAAAAAGAATGAAGCCTTTTTAACCGTCCTTCAAAACCTGCACTGGCTCCCAAAATCCCTCTTCAAAATCCTTCTGCTAACACACAAAGTTCTCAATAACCAGGCCCCCCCATACCTCACAGAAGCGAACCTCCTCTCTATCCCCACACGAACCAAGCTCCGAACCTGGGGGGACAGAGCCTTCTCCATCGCTGCCCCCACCCTCTGGAACTCCCTTCCACAACACATCAGAGACTGCACCGACCCCCCCCACTTTCAAAACACTGACCAAAACACACCTCTTCAGACTGGCTTTTAATTTGTGAATTATGCTGTGTTGCTGTTTTAATATTTATTTATTTTGTATTTCTATTCTTTATTCTATTTTATCATGTTTTATCAAACCACTGTAAAGCGTCTTTGAGCACCTGGAAAAGCGCTTTGAAATCAAATGTATTATTATTATTATTATTGTTATTATTATTTTAATGACGTGTGCAGTTTCAGTTTGATTGGAAAGATTTTTGAAAACGTCCTGAAATACTTTTTTTTCAATTTCTCATGCTAACTGAGTTTTCTAATTAGCTGGCTTGGTGTGGATGTCCATCATTACTTATATGAAGATTAATTAAATTATTTACTTTTGCCCAAACAAATATGTAGTTGTCGCCCGATATAATTTTTTGTTGACAGAAGCTTCAGTAGTGGTTGCTAGCCAGCATAAATGTTTTCACGCAGATAAGATATCTTTGCTAGCTAGGAACATGACGCGGCTAAAATCTGATTCAAAACATTTCTCTTATATGATTCAAAAATGAATCTGAGATGGTACTGTAGCAGGGATTCAGATATATTATTTATTTTTATTTATTCATTTATTTAAAAATAAATAATATATCTGAATCCCTGTGCATCCCTAGATTAGTTATATGTAGCTTTAATGTGCATTTGTTAAATTAGGTATGAATAATTTTGTACTTTCCTACTGTTTGCAGGTAATACATACTGTATGACATTCTCCTATGATTATGGAAAGCAGTAATAAAGAAGTTGTGCACAATATAATGGCTCTAGATCAGGGCCGCCACTGGTCAACTTGTGGCCCCACGCAAAGTTATATGATGAAGCCCTCTGTGTCGCAAGCGTCGACACGGGGGGGTTGCTAGTGGTGCCTCACAGCGGTGAAACTGTGGCGCGCTTACACTGTAGGTCCGCATTTGCGCTTCTGATGAGGCTTCCTCCACAAAATGAAGCACCCTCCGCAAGCTAAGGCCCCCACTGCGAGGTGAGGCCCCACGCGTGGTCGGCCTGTAGGGAGGGGCGGCCCTGCTCTAGATTAACAAACCACAGGAAAAAGACGTCTCAAAGAAAGTTTGTTAACCACTGCACAACCAAAACTGGAATAGGTTAGCTCGTTTTGTTTTCCCCAAAGTGAGTTTGTTGTTAGTTGCTAGGCTCTTAAGGAAACAAAAAGCAGCCAATACTTGGAAAATGCCAAGGCGGTAAAAGTTGTTGTTTTCCATTTTAAATAATACATCTACCTACAATCAAATGTTGTTCATTCTGAGATATCCTTATGAAAAGAACATGCGGCAAACACCCCTGCATAGATATCTGAGGTATCTGTTCTATTGTGTGATGTTGTGACTGACAACTCATTAGAAAAGACACCTGAGCCAGAGGGTGAGAAACAAACAACACTGTAACAACACACACACACACACACACACACACACACACACACACACACACACACACACACACCACATCACATGATACCTCACACAGTAGCAATGGGAGGACAATTATGACAGAGCTACAGTACAATGAGGTGCTATGTATTAATCTGGCTCTGTAATTATCATGTGCTTGAAGATGTGTTTACTATCACAAAGTAATTTATCTCACTGCACCGCCTCTGCCTGTCGGGCTTTTCACATCTCCGTCATCCCTCTAACTGCTCCTACTCCTTTACACCCTCCTTTTCAATATCTCCGTTTTTCTTCCCATGTTCCTTTCTGCCTCTTCCTAATTGCTCCTTCTTTCTTCATCAGAATCCCCTTTTCATCTGCCTCTTGTACCATCCCCTCTCTTTCTCTGCTTTTATCAAATGGATCTCTTTCTCTCAATTACAGGCCTATTCTCACCTTTGTCTCTTTAATTCCATTTGCCTATCTTTCTATGCCGAGAGGCTCTCGACTTGTGTAAAATAACCTCTCCATCCCTCCCTCCCTTTGGTCTCTATGGGCAGTAACAGTCTTGATGCAGTGTTGCATGTCGATGGCTATTGATCTTTTTCCTCTCTGTTTCTCTTTGCCCCTCTCTGCACTCTGCCAGTGCTGCTCTGCCAGGCCCACAGTGAACCCAACACCATGAGTGTGTGAGTGCATGCTTGTTGGTTGTGAGAGAGAAGGGGAGTACATTTAATAATACATAACATTACCAAGTACCTCTAAAAACAATGTAATCCATAACCTCATCTAAGTATTAGACTATAAAAGTAATTTACCTGAGCCTAACCCTAACCCTAATTTCAGTAACTTTTGGATTACCTCAATATCAAATGCATTGCAAATAAATATAAGAAAGGGGAAATATCAAGACGATTGCTTTTACTTAATTGTATTATAGAAGACAACAGAACAATACAACTTTAGAAAAAAAGAAAGCAAGATATTTTGTTAAAAATATATCTGACCCACACATTTTTAAGAGAGAAAATGTATTTAATTTAGCATATCAAAACAGTAGTCTATGGAAAATGAAACACATGACCATATAGTCCATTTCAAAAAAGCGAAAGTAAAATCTGAGCATACAGAAAATGCCCTGTTTTAGTTTAAAGAGGACATATTTGAATCATTTTGAGGTTCATATCTGTATTTTTTGCCTCTACTGTGACATGTTTCCATGCTTTAATGTTCAAAAAGCTCTCATACGGCCTGAGCAGCAGCACCTCTTTTCACCCTCTGTCTGAAACCAGAGCCCAGTCTGCTCTGATTGGTTAGCTGGCCGGTTCTGCTGTGATTAGTCAACCGCTTAGAGATGTCCCGCCCCCTAGCAAATCACGTGAAATGTGTTGGAGCACTACCCAATAGAAACGTGAGTGCTGATGTATTTATGTTATGGAAGTTAACAATGGAGTCCAATGGAGGCGTTTCAGGTGGNNNNGGGGGGGGGGGGGAACACACACTAACCTATAGAACACACTACAGGAAAGGGAAAACCCCAGAAGCAGCACAGGGCCCCTTTAATACATACAGTAGATGGTGAAATGTCCACCCAGTAAAAAGCATTCTCTGAACTAGAGGCCACGATGATGTACTGAAGATAACCTATGGTTTTAATCGAGACAGGTGATCTAAAAATGTATCGCTACATTGTAATCCTACTATCAATCCAAATGTGTCAAAAATGCACCAGTAATCCCATCACATCATTTTTGATGTAATTGTAAGGGAATACGGTTACCTTTTTTTCTCCTTTTAATCCTAGTTATGTAATCCCTATACATGTATTCCTTTACTATCCAAGCCTGGGTGTACGAAGAGAAAATAAGACTGTCTTACTGTCTCACATGACATAACCACAGTTACAAAGTCTTGTGTTCACAAGGTTTAAATGTCACAGATAAACTGCTTCCCACTTCTTGGCACAACCTGCTCTCACCTTGGAAATCACACCACAACAGTTCTTTCTCTGTCTCTCCCTGTCTCTCATCCCTTCCTCCACAGTTTCCTCTCCCACTCCCATATTCACTGGGAACAACATGTTTTAGGATGAATCGACTGCCTGGAGAGAAAAGGGATGCCTGGGGCTTGATGATACAACACGACATCCTGTCCAAGACAAAAAAAGAGTTGCTGATGGAAGGCAAGAAGATAGAGAGGAAAGGGAGATGAAGTGAGGTGATGAGGAGGCATGAGTGTGTGTGACAAAGGAAAAAGTAAGAAGGTTCATTGTAAAATGATGTAATGGCCAAAAGATTGACAACCTCTATACCTCTATATTAAAGTAGAAGGAGGGGGGCAATGGGTTTTATGAGCTACGCTATCTTTATCACTTGGCTGTTAATGCTGTAAAATACAGTTCAAGACAAAATCTCCCCTC